CACTCCAATCTACTAATCTGAAATGGGAGGAAAATATTATTAGCTAAAAAGCCCAATAAGTATAAGTTAAAACTACAAACTTGGGACTTAAGGCCCTTAGATCTACGCACATGAAAAGCATAATAGATAATCAAATTAAGCCACATAATATTATAAATCCCAGTATCTCAATAACAATTTAATATCACAAATTAACTCACAGATAATTGAACATGTCAAAGAATAACCAATAACATTTAATCAATCCATATCATAAAATCTTAAGCTCACAAACGTGATGTCATAAGCATAATACATAAAACCAAAAATCACACAATGCTATGGAGTCCACTGATGTATACTAACAACACTTATATTAGAGCTAATTATGGCACTCACCCTACTGCACAAAGGTTCACTGAATACCCGAAGGACCTACTGAATACCCGAAGGACCTACTAAATACCCCAAGCTTTAAGCTTATGTCCACTTGCTCCATAACCACAAACACATGCACATGTCAAAGAAATCCCAAACACATCCGAAAATAATGTAGGAATAAAATTCCATCCATTAATTCACTTAAATTTTGACTTAGTTCACATAGTTTAACCTCATGGTTAAAACATACAAAATATAGCACTTAATTATCTAATTAAGCAAATGCAATTTAAAGCAATTCACTTTAAATTCCTAATACTAATTCATTGGTTCCACCTACAAAAATTGAGAAATTAACTTCTTATTTTCAGAATGCAATCACTGCAGGAATAATCAATAAAATCCAAGTGCACAAGCTACGGCAGCACCCAAAATTTCTAAATAAATATGTACAGACCCACTGGAAATACCAAAACAGCAATAGCAAATTATATCCAACATTCAGACAAAATTCAAACATAAATATAAAACCCCCTTCTGCTTAGGACCGTACATATACCCAAAATCCAAATATTTTAAACCAAAATACTAATACCCAAAATCTCTTAAACAAAGGATTTAGAATCCAATTTCACTAATTTAACTAATTTTTTTGTTTTTTATAACAAATCTATAACATACCCAAAAACTCTAACCCAATTCATAGCTTAAAACTTGTCCTTACCTTAAAGTCAGGTCTTAAGTTGATGAAAAATAGTAGAAATTGTGAGGAAATTCAATTGGAGAGTGTGTTCCCATGGTGGGCTTTTGGGTGCCTTATGTAAGCTTATTTAAGTCTAGTCGAAAAAAATTTTTTGGTTGGTATAATGCCATGTGGTAAGAAAAATTAGAATGATTGAGTTAAGGCCTTTCAACTCCTATTAGGTTATATTTAAAACCTTCAAACTTTAATTTCAATCAATTTAATCCTAAACTATAAACTAAAGGACCTTAATTTTTAAATTTTTCATTAAAATACGTGGGGTGTTATAGGACAAGATCAGATGTCACTAGGTATAGGTTGAGAGGTGAATTGCCAGTAATAATTGACGATAACACTGGCAGGAGGCCTAGAGATAATCTTGTAGGAAAAGATAAAACAGTTGGGGATTCAAAGAACGAAAATTGGGAAATATCTAATTATGTGCAGAAGGGTAGAAAGGTTACTAATGATTCTGAAGATTTTATGCAAAATGAGATAGTTGAGGTTGGTTTGGAAGAGACTCATGAAGTTAAAGATGTATATTTTAATGAAGTACATAACTTAGAGAAAAGAGCGAGTTATTCTAGAGTTGGGGAAAAGGACGAACACAGGAGGAGGTCAGGGAAGGGCATAAAGATAGATGAGAAGCATAGCAGTTCTGGTAAGCATGTGATTAGACGTGCAAGTTTCAGTGATAGGCATAGGATAACCATCAATCAGCATGGAACTGTGAATCATAGATCTAACAGAGGTTTGCAGAATAGCAAAAGCTTTGAGGATGAAGAAATCCAAAAGCAAGATCGTTTTGTACAGCCTGTTTCTCAACCTGCTCTTTATGATGTTGCTGTCAAAGCCATGGTGTCTAGCTTAAATAGTTATGTTAACCGTTTTCTCAAAAATAAGGATTATTGGACCTCCCTCCACCACAATTGTTTCTTATCCCTGAATTTTACTAGACTAGAAGACAGGGATGCTGACAGCAATGTCATCACCAACCTTGGAGAAGCAGTTGAGGTAGTAGAAAGAGCAGCTGAGGATTCTGCTAGTGCAAAAGAGCTGAAAAAAGCTTTGTTTCAGCTTCATGTGATAACTGGATTGAATTCAGATGATTTGAAGATTGAGTTCACATTAGGGATTCCTAATTATAAGTTGTCAGCATGTGCTCAACTCTGCCTTAGTATTATATTTAAGCTGCAGAAGAAAGACAGGATTTCAGCAAAGCATCTTTTGCAAGTCTTTTGTGATTCACCTTCTCAAGCAAGGATGACTTTGTTGCCTGAACTGTGGGAAGATATGTTTTCTCCACATCTTTCACATCTGAAGGATTGGTACAATCAAGAAGCTGAATCTCTAGTAGAATCACCAACTAGGGCAAAGAAACTTAAGCTTCTTGACAAAGTATACAATGAAATTCTGGATTCAGGAAACTTACCAGTTTGCTGTTTACTACAAGGATTGGCTCTCAGAGTGAATCGAAGCTCCATCTGTTCCTTGTATACACATTCCATTGGTGTCTCTAGAGGGATTTCATCAAGGAGACTCAGTTCTTCATACTTCAGAGGTGACAAGTTCAGCTGCTGCCTTCTCACCAACGCCGGTGATCAGTCAGAAACTGTATCATTCAAATAAACACGTTCCATCTGTGTCTCTTGAAGGATTTCAGCAGGGAGATTTAGTTAAACCTGGCAATTTTTTATCTAACCCGTTAACCCGCCCATTACCCGCCTGTTTAAAACGGGTTAGGGTCATATATTTATGACCCATGACCCGTTAATGACCCCGTTAAGAGAACCTGACGGGTCACGGGTTGACCCATCAAGTTAACGGGTTTAACCTGTTTACTCGTCTAAAAATTTAAAATTTTTAAATTTATTATTTATTTATTTTGTTTTCTAATTCCTAATTCCCAATTCCACCTAAACATCTAATAATGGACTAATATTCTCTAATTAACTAATTGATTCTCTTCACTCATCATCTTCTAAAAGTAAAAATAATCCCACTCCACTTATAACTCACCTCTCGAACTTTCCTATTCTTACTTGCCCTAATACTCTCGAAGACTCTAACTCTTTAAACTTCAAACTCTTCTCATATTCTTCAACCTCCATAGTCCATACAGCCTTTGACTTCACATTTTCTCTTTAGTCTTTAACATTATTTTAGACTTAGATTTTAGTCTTATCAAGTCACTGTTACGTCCACTCAGTCCTTTGTTTTTTTCTCCTGAGTCTGGTAAGTGCTCTTTTTGTCACCAACTTTTCTCTCTAAAGACTTCAAGGTAAGTTGTTTACTTATTTATACTTTTGAGTTTTCTTTCCATTTTAAATAAAAATTTTACTTGATTTTCTCCTTTGCTTCCTTAGATGTATTCAATTGATTATTTTTTGAAAGCAATGACCAAAACAAATATGTTCCAATGGGTTTGTGTTTTTTGGTTGTCATGTTATTACTACTTTTTTTTTTTTTACTATTGAGATTTATAAGTGTAGTCTTCTTAAATTTGATTAGCGCTGGTTTTTGAAGAAAAATAAAGAATGTGATTATAAGAAACTATAAATATATATTAAATTAATGAAAAAATATTATTTTAATAAGATGTTGAATTTCTCTTTTAAATCTTTTGAATAATTTTTTTTAATGATAATAGATATAAATTTTAGAAAAAAAAAATAATTTGGTCAACCTGCGGGTTGACCCATGACCCGTGATGGGCGGGTTAAGGTCTGCCTTCATTGATTCATGACCCGTTTTAACCCAACCCGTTTTGACCCATTACCTATTCTGACCCGACCCTAACCCGACCCAACCCGCCCGTTTGCCAGGTCTAGATTCAGTTCATTATGCTTCAGAGGTAGCAAGTCCAGCCGCTCCCTTCTCACCAAAGCCAATGGTCAGCAAGAAACTCTTTGATGATGTATTTCGTCGATCACATAAACCTGGATATGATGTCAACTCTGGTAACTTTGATGCTTACTATGATAGAAGCTCTGATGGTTCTGCTGATGTTAAACAAACGCTTACTTACTCTTCTGTAGCAATTAAGCAACCAAATCAAGATATTGAACAATGTTCTTCTGAAAGTGGACAGGATGATGCATTTTTTCATGTAAGTAACTTCAAGCACAACATATGTATAGACATGGAGAGGAGTCTCTATCCACGTGCTTAAATGAATCCATTTGCAACATTGTGTACTCTTTATTATGTTTTTTATGGATTCACATTGTATTAGTAGATGATCCTTGAACTGATTTAACAAGTTGCAGGAAGATGGGATCTCATCAACAGCTAAGGAAAAGTGGAGAATACCATTAGTGCATTTGTTGCAGGAAAAAGATGTCCATGAGAAAGATAAGAGCTCGGAAGCCTTTAGTACATGGCAAACAACTGCAGGAGATGCACATATGTCACGTATACCTCACAGTTTAGTGTTAATGAGATCATACTCAAGCGGCTAGCAAAATCTGCTTTTGAGTTGCAACAAACTGAGAAACCTGTGGATCTCAGTATCTCTTGTCTTCCACAGCTAACTGAGATGTATGTTTTGAAAAATGATTTGCATTCATAAAAATCTTCATTTCCTTTGTCGCAATTTCATTTTCATTGTATTAATTGCATGTTATGTTTTTAGCCTACTGACAAAATTTTCTTTCTTTTTTCATCTAAAGCAGCCAATTCAAGTGAGGAATTCTTTTGAAGGTAAGTTAAGGGGAAATATTAACAATGATGCTGCTTTACATTGAACATATAAGATTCACTGCTCATATTAACTCTCCTAGTGCAGAATTACATGAAACCTATGCATACTTTGCTGGTGCAGCATACTTCTCAAGCATACCCGTGGATTTTATTTGTCCTCTAACAGGAAAGCTTTTCGAAGACCCAGTGACACTAGAGACAGGTCAAAATTTTGAGAAAACAGCCATCAAGGAATGGTTTGATGGAGGGAAATAGAACATGTCCAGTAACAGGAAAAACTTTGGAATACCTGTCAGTGCCACATACCAACTTTGTTTTGAAGCGTGTCATTGACAGTTGGAAAGCAGAAAACCATAGACATCTCTTGAATTTTAGCTAACAAATTGTGAGGATTTCAAGGGCAGGGGGACAGACAGACAGATGAAATAGCCATACTGAACAGATGCAGATGCAGATAACAAGAGAAAACGTGTGTTGGAGAACTGTTTTCATGTTGCATTGACACAGATGCAGCTCCCAGAAATGCTTAAAATGACCATACTGAACAGTCCAGATCTAAGCTTACTCAGATCAGATAATTTTGTTTCAAATTTGTTTTTCTTCCAAGTTGACTAAAAATATAGTTTTTTTGGTAAATAAATCACGCTGGAAATATTTCATCATTACAATATGAATTTATAAAATTTTGCGGGCATCAATATTTTCTTATGCACAGTTTTCTGCTATTCCTTCTTTGCAACATTAAGAAATTGCATAGGGTGATGAGCTTGACCAGAAAACACTTCATCACATG